GGGTGAGGTTGCTATGGGTCAGGGGGCCCTGGGTGAGCTCTGTGCCCAGCTCCCCTCCCACTCCAACACTCACGCAGATGGCGGGTGGGAAAAGCAGGGTGGGAATTCCCAGGGCTGCCACCAGCTGCTGGTGCTGCTCATCCCCCTGCCCATGCTGCTCATCCCCCTGCCCGTGCTGCTCATCCCCCTGCTCATCCCACTGCCCATGCTATCCCCCTGCTCCAGCAGGGTCCTGGCCAGAGCTTCCTGCTCCTGCTGGGCAGAGGAGGGTCAGATGCTGTTCAGGACTGGGGGGCTGCTTCGGGCTCTGCTTTGTTTGGGGATGAATTTCAGTGTCAGCGTTTCCTTTCCTGGTGCTGAATCTCCTCCCGGGGGCCTCAGGAGCTGCTCTGAGCTCCAGCCCGTGGCTGTCACCTGCACTGTGGCCACGGACACTTCGGGCCCTTCACCTCAGACTCATGAAATCACTGTGGGGGGAAAGGACCATCAAGTCCAACCTTCCTCCCAGCATTTCCCTCACCACCAGACCACAGCCCCTGGTGCTCCATCTACTCATTTTTGAACATTTCCAGGGATAATGACTCCAGCACCTCCCTGGGCAGCCCCTTCCAGGGTCTCACCACTCTCTCAGAGAAGAAATTCTTCCTAATATTCAATCAAAACCTCCCCAGGCACAACTTGAGACCATTTCCTCTCGTCCTAAGTGAGACCTTCTCCCTCTCTGCCCCTGCTGCTGCAAGGCTCCCCCCACTTTCTGTTGCAGAGTAGATAAATGGGGTTTCTTCATGTTCTTCCAGTCCCCAGAACTCTCCTGCCAACGTGGGACCACTTGGTCCCTGCAGCCTCTTTGCTGTGCCTCTTGCCTAGACCCATTTTTATCCCCATAGCAAACATTTTGGGCCCCTTGAGTTTGTTTGCAAAGGAGAGGACATCACATTTGCCATTTTTAGCTCCCTATATGTTGTTTAGCCTATTTTTAGTAAACTTTTTACTCCCTTGCCTTGTTTCTACCTGGTCTTTCTCAGCTGTGGATGTCTGGTGACACCACGAGCCCAAGCTGAAGCTGCCCACCACGGATGCAGGCATCAAACATGAAGATCTAAACACAAAGAACAAAACTACAAGAATTCCAAGTGCTGCCAATGCCACTGGAGGCTCCCAGAGCAGGACTGGGTGCTCAGAGGAGCTTTCTGGTAAAAAGAAAAAGTGTGATACAGCTCCTCTTTCTCCAGCTGCAAGATAAGTTTTATTTAGAACGATTAATCCTTCCAAGCTTCTTTAAACAAGGTAAAGAAGGAGAGAAAGGCTGTAATCCTATTTTCTCCTCCCATTTCCGTGTCACCTTTAGCAGCAGCATTTGAGAGCCACCAGCTCCAAGGCCCAGCAGGAGCAGGGAGCATGTCCAGGGTGTTTTCTGTGCAGGTAGAGGTGGCTGCTGTCTCTGAGGCTGTGGGCCAGGCTGTTCTCAGCAGACCTCTCCCAGCCAGGGCTGTGAACCCCCAGCTCATCCCTCACTCACAACTCAGCCCTCATCCTGCTGCTCTGACAGTGTTTGCCCTAAAAAAGGGGCACATTGTTTAGCAGGGACACACACACTCACCCACAGCTCCTGAGAACTGCAAACAAAACCGAGCCAGGATTAAAACAGAAGAACAGAAGATTAAGCTCCTATCAAGAGGTAATTAAAGCCAGGAGGAGAGATAATGATGGCAATGATAATGAACCAATTGCTGCAGGGATGTTTGCCCAGCAAATTACTGCCATTATGGGCAGGAGCAGGAATTATTACCCCTCAGCAGAAACACAGTCCATCAAACCCCTGCAAGCGACCTGATCAGCCTCAGAGAGTAATTAAAAGGACATTCCAGCCTGGATGCCTTATTTGCTGTTAATTGTGATTGCTCCTATTCGTATCTTTACCCAAATAATTGCTTCTGATAAGGGCTGTGGATTTATAGGGGGCCAGGGAGAGGAGTGGGCCAGTGGCCCATCGTAGCTGTGGGGCAGATCAGAGCCAGAGGAGACCACGGGCTGGTGAGTGCTGCTGGGCTGGCCCAGCCACGCTGCTTTCCCCTCTCTCAGCTTTTGGGGGCTGGGTTTCAGGCCCCCGTGGTGCTCTGCTGAGCCCCTGCCAGGAGAACCCCCTGAGCAGCAGTGCTGGTAATACGTGGGGGTTCCTGCTCTGGACAGAGCCAAGCAGCAGCTGGAGCAGGTGGCTTCCAGAGGTACCTGGTCTCCAGTTGTAGGCAGAGCACAAGAGAGGCACAGCAGCAGGAAGGTGCCCAAACTGGCTGTGCAGCAGCCTTTTTGGAAGCTCTCCTGGGGGTAGTGCTCCTGCAGGGTGATGGGAGCCTTGGTTCAGCAAAGGCTTTGGGTGCAATCCAACGTCTCAGCAGCAGGATTAGGATTTGTCTGCTGGGAGGGTCTGAGCTGCTCCCAGGTCCTGGGCTGTGCGTTGCTTTCAGGGAAGGGTCCCAGCTGGCTAAGGAGTTTGCATTTATTGAAAGCCAGCATCACTGGGGAGGGCAATGAAAAGCTCAGAAGTGTTTTAAGAAGGTTGAACAGCTCTCCTGTGATGCCCCTGAAGAGCCACCTCCTCCCTGGGGTCTGGCTGATTAAAACCCCAATGTGATGCCTCGTTCTTGGTGCACAGGAGAAGTTCCCCAGCAGCAGTTACTGCTCCTAGCAACTTCAGCAAGCAACTGTAACCTGCACAGGGAAGACAAAAAGGGAAAAGAGAAGTGGATCTGCTTCATTAGCAGCTAGAAAGGTTATGAAGAGAGGAGAAGCTCTGGAGCTAGGGATGGGGTTTAACGTGGGCTCTCAGACGTGGTGCTCCAGGGCTGGCCCAAGGAAAGGCACAATGCTGTGGTGAGCTCCTGGCTGGGAGTCGAGGCACTGTGTGACTGTGTACAGACTGAGGGACAGGCTCAGGCTCCAGGTTTGCCCTCCCTGAAGAGTGTTGTGCTCTGGTTTTGGTGCCTGCTTTCAGCTCTCCACATCCCTTGGCTGGGAAGCAGCACTGGAGTCGGATTTGTTTGGCCTCCAGTGAGACACTGATCTTTGAAATGTCCTTGTTTTACTTATTCCACCCCCCTCAAAGCCACATCAGGCAGGGAACAGAACACTACAGCACCAGCAGTGGTGTGGGATGAAGCTTCTGGCTCCTCAGCCATGCAAAGCCTCTCACCTGGCTGCTCTGCACCCCCGTTCAATATTTGTGCTGTGGCTTACAGCGAGTAAATCTCTGTGTAAATCCCCCTCCTGCCCTTCCTCCTCCTGCCTCTTCCCATCCCACGGCGTTTCTAGAGGAGCAGACAGCCCCAGGAGGGCACCTAGAAAGCGTTCAGGAAACTCTGACAATCCCTTAGTGCTCTTTGGGCTGTCTAGTTCCAGACTGAATTAAAAGCAAAGTGGGAGGGCTTTGATCTGGGGGGAGCTGGTCCTGCCGGGGGGTTCCCAGGGCAGGGACTGGCACAGCAGGGTGGGCTCCTGGGCAGGAGGGAGGCTGGTGTTGTAGGAGCTATGGGCATGGCTCCCGTGGCACCCTGGGCAGCTGTGGGCACCCTGGTCTGAGGGCACACACCCCTCTCTGCGGGCACAGGGCTGCAAAAAGAGCCTGGGCACAAAAGGGGCAGAGCCAGGATGGCCTGTGAGGGGCAGAATGCACCTTCCTGCTTCCTAGGGCAGGAAGACAACACAGGATGAGTTTCTGCTGCTGTTAAAGTGTGGTTTAGTTCTTTTTTCCTTCTTGAAGGATGGGAGGACAGGCAGATCCTGGCACACACGGAGCCCTTCCCTCCTCCTCGGGGTGGATGTACTTGTAGTTGCTACACACCGTTTTTTTTGGTCTGGGAACATGCAAACAGGTTTCCCCTGGGCACCCTCCAGGTCTCCTCCCAGCTGTCCTTAGGGGATGCTTTTGTGAGGGCTTGAGATGCTCCCCCCAGAGCCCCAGCTCCTGGGGTAGGATGGGGTTTATTTGGGGTGCTGTGCTGCTGAGGCACCCTCCAGGAGTCTTCCCAGCTGTCCTCGGGTGATGCTTTTATGAGGGCTTGAGATGCTCCCCCCAGAGTCTCAGCCCCTGTGGTAGGACGGGGTTTATTTGGGGTGCTGTGCTGCTGAGGGACTGACCCACCCACCCCCTGCCTGCTCCAGGGGTGTGACACTGATCCCCAGCAAACCTGCAGCACCAGGCCCGTGCTCTGGGCTGGGGGGTGGTGGGATAACAGCTCCAACCAACCCCCAACGGGCTGGCCTCAGTGTTCATCTGCTGTACTACAGAGGAACACTCCTCGTGCTGGCAGGAGCTCCTGCCTGGGTTAGTTCTGGTGCTGCCCCTCACACAGCCATGCCTTCAGAGCAGTCAAGTGTACCAGACAAAGACCAAGGACATTTGTTCTGCTGCATAGAAAACCTTGTGCTTTAATTCAGGAGAGAACATGGCTTCCTTGATGGCTGGGCTGTGGCGCTTGATTATTCCCATAATTGTCCTATCACACTTCTCAGCATCTCTTCCATCCCAGGAGAGGTAAGTCTTCCTTGTGCCTCTGCTTCCTTTCTCTCTGTAGCTTTTTGTTCAAAGAGCTTGCTAGTTATAAAGTCAGCCTTTTATCTTCCTCCCAGAACCTGCAGCTGCTTGGCTGTTGGACTCGTTTCTTCCCTAAATGGATTTTGTTAAATGAGTATAAATGTTGTAAATGTTTTCCTCTTGCTTAAGAGTGGAAACACTGATTTGACTTAATTCAAGAGGAAAATCAGGACCCCAAACAGCTCAAACAAGAATCAAAAAGACACCCTTGAATCTGTTTTCCCACTAGATATTATCCACACTGCTAGAGGTCGAAGTTTCTGTTCCAAACAGCCTAGTCCCCTGAAACCAACACAACATTAGCACAAATTCTTGCCCACCTTTGTTTGGGAGCCTCTTTCCTTGAGCGAGCAGTTTTAAATGTCCCTTCTTTGGTCTTAAAACATCCCTGTTGACCTCTTCTTCCCTTCCAAGCAGGACTGAGAGACACGCTGATGGGCTCTTCCACAGTGAGCTCAGCAAGATGAACGGCAACGCCTACGTGCAGCAGCTGGTCAGGCACTTGGTGGGGCTCAAGGAGAGGTGAGGACCACCCCCAAACCCCCCTCCTGGGGCGTGGGGGTCTCCACGGGAGGGGGGATCCCAGCAGTGAGGGGGATGCACACGGGGCTGAGCTGTCTCCAGCTCCAGGGCCAGCCTGAGCATCGGTCTCACCCGGGAGGTGCCCGAGCTGCCGGGAGGGCTTCGGGCACGTTGGCAGAGGGCAGGTTCTGTGTCTGGTGGGAAGCCCCCGTGGCAGGGCGGGGAGCAGCAGCCTCTGCAGCACGTTTTCCCTGGCACAGGTCCCAGAGGCACTCGGACGGGCTCTTCACCAGCGAGTACAGCAAGCTGAGAGGCAACGCCCAGGTGCAGAAGTTCATCCAGAGCCTCATGGGCCGCAAGCGCAGGTGGGAGCCCTGGCCCTGGGCACGGGGGGCAGCCCGGGCCATGGGGGGCTGCAGGGACCAGCCCCCAGCTCCTGGGGAGGGGGTGGCACGACTGGTGCTGTGGGAGACTGGAGACAAGGGCTGCTGGGGCTGGGAGCTGCTGTGGAAGAGCAGAGGTGCCCCAGGAGCCTGCCCTGTCCATCAGAGCAGGGCACCAACCTCACTGAGGCCATTGCCAAGCATCAGCCAACACCATCTACTGCATCTGCACAGGGAGCTTAGTCCACAGGACACAAATCTTCACACCAGATCACAGCCCGGGGGATTTTTCTTTGCAGTTTGATTTAGCCTTTTGGGGAGAGTTGTAGATGATTTACCTCCTCCAAATAAAGCACCCGAGAAGCTGTTGGTGGGTAAATGGGCTCTGTAACAGAATGAGAACCTCTGGGTTCCACAGTCCCCACCCGTGGCTGCCAGGCTGGGCAGGCTTGAGACATGATCAGATCTATGGCCAGTATGGGACCTGTCATCCAGCTGAAATATGGGGCCAGTAGCTCCTGCTGGAGCCACGTGTGTGGAGCCATGAGCTGTGACACGGGGACAGTGTGTGACCCACCTCAGAGCTGCTGCTCTGCTGTGGGGGGAGAACATTGCCTGGAGGGGCTTCCTTCAGACCTGGTCCCTTCTCCAAGGCAGAGATGTAGAACATTGATCCCTTCCCATCTCTTCAGGCTGCTTTGGTCCTTTCTGGGGCATGTACCACTCACAAAACCCTGGCAGATGTGGGAGGGTTTTAGTTTCCAAGTGCTGGAAAAAGGAACAGATCCATGGGAGGAAGGACCTGCTGGTACAGGGTGGTGAGGCAGTGCCAGTGCATGTGGGACCCTGTCCCTCTGCCAGCTGGAGAGCATCTGAGCCTGATCCAAAGAGGATGCTTCTTTTTCCTCCTGCACAGCTCTGGTGACAGGCAGCAGGTTCAGAGCGTGGACCATGGGGCTGGTCGCTGGGGGTGGACCCTGCCCCCCAGCCAGCAGTGCTGCTTCACAGCTCTGGGGCTCACACTGCTCCCTGGGGTTTGCTTACACCACGATTCATTGTCTTTATCCAAACCAGCTCTCCAGGCCCAGTCAACACAGATGTGCAGGGGAGAGAGGAAGAGAACAGCCGGGAGGAACTTTGCTTTATGTGGTTGTACCAGAGCTTTCTAAACACCAGGTGGGTGGGACAGACTTGTCACCTCTATGGCCCCCATCACCAAAAGACTGAAGCCAAAAAAAGGACGTTTAGTAACTTATAAATGCCCAGTTTTTGCCCCAAGCACAGATCTGGTGCAGTGCAGACCAGGCAGCCTGCATCCACAGTAACCCACTGCTGTGTGCCAAGCCCCCCTGGCACTCAGGTTTGCCTTACCTAAAGCAGAGCTGGGATTGAGATTCACAGCTAAGAAGTGCCATGTAAGAGCCAGTTATTAGAAATTATAAACCCCAGGAAAAGAGGATCTTTTTGTAATCGTAGGGTTGTCATCCTGGGCTGAAATGATTGTTCAGGACACTCAGAAACCTGGCAAAATGGTTAAAATAGAAATTCTGTGCTATCCTGTCTTGATTCAGTTATTGATCCAATCCCACGCCTCAGGAAGGGCTGTCCCTGTGTCTGGACATTGTCTGGTCCTAGTCACCAACCAATGTCAATTAGACATCTCTCAGCTAAATCCCAAAAATCAGGAGGAATGAGCTGGCCCTCTGTCCACACTGCCTGGAATGAATGGGGATGATAACCCCAATAGTCCTCCCTGTGTGATTGTGGGGTGCTGGCTGCAGGCAGACAGGAGCTGGGTCCCTCTGCCACACATCTGCTCCTTGGAGTCATCTTTGGACTTTACAGGGTGCCCCTGTCCCCTCCCTGCAGCCCGTGCCCCAGCAGTAACCAGCCACCCTGACCCTGACCTGTTTCTTCCCTTCCAACAGCCACTCGGAGAGTGATGCCAGGGAAGCTGCTGCAGCCACCAGCCAGTACCTTTGCCCCATCTCTAAGCAGCTCTTTGCAGACACCAAGGAGGATTCAGACAGTTTGGACTGAAGGTGAAGGGAACGACCCAGCCGAGGAGCAGCTTTGCATGTGAATAGCCTGGAAAATGAACAGGGAGCTACTGGATTTGCTTAGGAGCCAAAGACCAGTAAATAAAAACCAAAACTGTGGCAAGTAGCCAAACCCCAATAACCCCACTTAGCTTTTCCAGTGAGCTATGTCAGTGTGTGCTGCTGTCAGTAGATGGAGCCTGAGGGAAGCACGTTGCTCCCAGCTCCTGTTAGCACCTGCCTGCTTCCCACTCAAATAAAGAGGTGTCAGCTCTGCTGTGCTCTGCCTGCTCTTTGGGAGACACTAACCAGGGTGCTGGAGCACTGGGAATTCAGGGCAGGGGAGAGGTATTTTGCCAGGCTCCCTCCCCATGAGCATGTTGGGGCCATCACAGCCTCCACGGAGCAGAAACTTACCCAGGGGCTACATTTCACTGCAAAGAAATGTACTGAGAGCTACAGCACCTATTACACACTGTAAATATTATTTCCACCCCGTTCTGGCCCTGTGTTTACCAGCCCAGCCTGTTCATAGCCACTAATGGCAAAGTTCCCTCAGGAGGAATTTGTTCCCCCTGTTTAATGAGGTTAATGTTATCCCTGCACCATGCTGCCTGGCAGATCCCCTCCTCTGACAGGGCAGCAACTCCACCTTTCCTGTAAACCCCACTGATTTTTGAAGAGCAGCTCTAGAATAAGGCATTTGTCAGCTACAATTGTGTGCTGGCCACAGGACAGCTCAGTCCCTCCTGTTTTCACCTTTTATCACAAACATACCTCCTGCAGAGGAGCTTGTCCACCTCAGATGTTCATCCAAGCACCTTCCCCTTCCTCTGACTCTGGAACCCTCTTCTCACAGACCTCAGCAGTTGTTTGTTCTGGTCCATAGGAGCTCTGCTAGAGAAGAGACCCCTTGGAGGGCTTTGGGGAGGAGGGTTGGTGGGCTGTGTCTTGTCAAGCCACTAACAACCATCTGGCTAAAACACAGCACCTGAGAACTTCCTGAGGTCAGCTGGGATTTAAGAAGGAGCAGGGAGAGCAGCATCTCCTTTCTCCTCGTACATGAGGGGTAGGTTGGAAGCAGTGCTGCTGCTTTGCCCAAGTGTTTGAGCATCTTGCTGGGTGATATTTGCCTTGGAAAAAGGTGCTCAGAAAAAGGCAGGAGAGGAGAGCAGAGCAGCACACTGCTGAGGCTTCAGCAAGCTGCTGGGGTGTGACTGGAGCCTGGATGGAGATTCTGGGGAGCATCCCTACAAAGAGCCACTGCTGGCCACTGGTAGGAGATGTGTTGTCCCCACAAAGCTGCTGGGCTGCAGCTGAGCCTGGTCCCTGTCTCTGATCCCCCCTGCTCACCTCCTGAGGGTACTGTGGGGTGGCTGAGAAAGAGCAAGAGTGGCTCAGGGATGTAACTGGTTATCTTAGCACAGGGATCTACCTCCTCCCTTCACCATCTCACTGAGAGAACTGCCACTCTGGCTTTGTGCTTACTGAGACCTTTGCCAGAAATAAAGATATTTAAGAGTTACCTTTCAAGTTTTTTAATTGTTTTTCAGCAACAACAACATGACAGACTGAAACTAGAAGAGAGAAACCATCAGGCATGGGCTAGAGAACAAAGCCTGTTATAAAAGGGAGCATGGGCTGTGAGGAAAAAGCTATAGGGGTATAGGGTATATCTATAGGGGTATAGCAGCATCATGGTGACTTTTCCCAGGAAATAATCTGACCAAAACTATCTCTGGTGCATAGAAACATGAACATCCCTTCCTCCCACTGGGAGAGGCTGGAGCATGCAGACAGCCTGCAGAGTGCCCTTGTCCCCCAGGCTCACCTCAGGGGGCTCCACTCTGAATTCTGAAACGCTTCAGACACGTCCTTGTTGCTGCTGAGACTTTAGGAAGGACCCAGGAAGTGGCAGGCGGAACATTTCTCTTCCATACCGT